GTATCTGCTTATATGTATTGAACGACGTAAATCACATCACACATTGCACCACGCACGTTGCCCCACATAGATTTCACAACGTAGATGGCACGCAGATTTCACAACGTATATTGCACAATGTCTATTGCCGCACGTATGTTTTCACATTTGTTGCTCCAGGTCGATTGCACCACTTATGCCGCACCACGTAGATTGCACTACATCGATTGAACCAAATAAGTTGCACAACGTGGATTGCAACACCCATATTCTACCAAACACATTGCTCTATCCAGATTGCAACACACATTTCACTACGTGGATTGCACCACACATTTCGAGCCACATAGATTACGCAGCGTGGGTCGCACCCCATATATATACATATACATATACATATACATATATATATATATATGTATATATATGTGTACATGTTTTTTTTATGGTGTCACATATGCTGTACTAAATATATTGCTCCACAGAGCTTGCACCACGTATATCGCACCGCTTCTGCTGCACAGCATAAAGTGCACAACATCTATTGCGCACCGTAGAGTGCACCACATATATGGTCCAGGGTTTGGGCCCCCCCTCCAATGCTGATGCCATTGGGCCCCCCCCCCGCGCGATGGTCCCCCCCTCCCCCCCCTGTGGGCGTGGCGTGGTGCTGCGCTGCGGTTCCCCCCCCCCCCCTGTGGATGTGGTGTGGTGCTGTGGTGGTTCAGATGTGGGCATGGCGTGGTGTTGCACTGCGGTGCCCCCCTCCCCCCCCCCTGTGGATGTGGTGTGGTGCTGTGGTGGGGGTTCAGAGGTCGTCGTCGTCGTCGTCGTCGTCGTCGTCGTCGTCGTCGTCGTCGTCGTCCTCGTCGTCCTTGTTGTTCTCGTCGTCCTCGTCGTCCTCGTCGTCGTCGTCGTCGTCGTCGTCGTCGTCGTCATCGTCGTCGTCATCGTCGTCGTCGTCGTCGTCGTCATCGTCGTCGTCGCCGTCGTCATCGTCGTCATCGTCGTCGTCGCCGCCGCCGCCGGCGTCGTCGCCGCCGCAGCCATCGTTGTCGTCGTCGTGGTCGTCGTCGTCGTCGTCGTCGTCGTCGCCGTCGTCGCCGTCGTCGCCGTCGTCGTCGTCGTCGTCGTCGTCGTCGTCGTCGTCGTCGTCGTCGTCGTCGCCGTCGTCTCTGGGACCATACCATCTGGGGGGGAGGGGGGGGGGGCCCGAGGAATCCTGGGACCATACCATCCGGGGGGGGGGGGCCCGTGGGCCGTCGACCCTGGTTCATATATTGCAACGCGCTTGCTGGTCCACATGCAATGCACGATGTCGGTTGTACCACGTCATTTGCACAGTATTTATGGTACCTTATGTATGTGTCACCACGTATTTAGCTCTACATCGTTGGCACCACATATAGCGTACCTTACATTGTGCGTAAACTAGACCGCGCACCATCGAGTACACCACATAGATCGCATCACGTATCTTGCCCACACATATCGCACAACGTTGATCGCCAAACGCACATTGTTCTTGTGTCCAGGTAGGCGACATGTTTGAAAACGGAAAGAAACGATCAGGTGGGCCACGAGCGATCCCGGATTCGGAACGCAGCAAGCACGGCGCCCAACACGGACAGGCACTGTCGATTTCGAGAACGGGGAAAGTGCTCGCAGCGCTCTGCAAATCCTTTGGTGCCGAGCCTCGAGCGATCGACCGATTTCTGGGGCCCGAGTTTAGGGTTTAGGGTTTAGGGTCTACTAGGCTTGGCCACGATTACACCTTGACCGCGAACCCACCTGCGGTGGCCGTCACTCCCACCCGCAAGCCACCCCAACATGAATATCATCTCTCCCCACGTTAGAACCAGAGCGAGTACAGCGTCGACGACGACGACGACGACGGCGACGACGGATGTGCGATCCAGTTGGCACGCGAGTGCTCTACCGAGCTAAAGATTCTGCACGCATGCGCAGGAAGCGCGAGTGTGTGCAGGAGATGGAGTTGGTTTACATAAGGGGGTCGCATTTTGTATGGTAAAAAACAAAAGATTCTCCACGCATGCTCAGCAGATTCTGCACGCATTTGCAGAACATGTTTTTTTTGCAGTAGATGGAGCCGGTTTACATAAACCGGTTGCAACGGGGGCCGCGCACTTTGTGCTGTAAAAAACTAGCCTGGCGAAGGACCCAACCATATGCAACTGTGAATACCGCAAGTGTGAATATCGTTTTCGGCGGCGCTACCTCTGGGTAGTGGAGACGCATGCGAACACCCCCACTGGGGCCTTCGGTGGAGCTCCCTATGGGGCTATGAAACGCTGCCCTGGGTGGGGGAACCGCATGCAGGCAGCCCCACTGGGGCCTTCGGTGGAGCTTCCTGTGGGGCCACGAAACGCTGCCCTGGGTGGGGGAACCGCATGCGGGCACCCCCACTGGGGCCTACGGTGGAGCTCCCTCTGGGGCTACGAAACGCTGCCCTGGGTGGGGGAACCGCATGAGGGCAGCCCCACTGGGGCCTACGGTGGAGCTCCCTATGGGGCTACGAAACGCTGCCCTGGGTGGGGGAACCGCATGTGGACACCCCCACTGGGGCCTTCGGTGGAGCTCCCTCTGGGGCTACGAAACGCTGCCCTGGGTGGGGGAACCGCATGTGGACACCCCCACTGGGGCCTTCGGTGGAGCTCCCTATGGGGCCACGAAACGCTGCCCTGGGTGGGGGAACCGCATGTGGACACCCCCACTGGGGCCTTCGGTGGAGCTCCCTATGGGGCTACGAAACGCTGCCCTGGGTGGGGGAACCGCATGTGGACACCCCCACTGGGGCCTTCGGTGGAGCTCCCTATGGGGCTACGAAACGCTGCCCTGGGTGGGGGAACCGCATGCGGACACCCCCACTGGGGCCTTCGGTGGAGCTCCCTCTGGGGCTACGAAGCGCTGCCCTGGGTGGGGGAACCGCATGTGGACACCCCCACTGGGGCCTTCGGTGGAGCTCCCTCTGGGGCTACGAAACGCTGCCCTGGGTGGGGGAACCGCATGTGGACACCCCCACTGGGGCCTTCGGTGGAGCTCCCTCTGGGGCTACGAAACGCTGCCCTGGGTGGGGGAACCGCATGTGGACACCCCCACTGGGGCCTTCGGTGGAGCTCCCTATGGGGCCACGAAACGCTGCCCTGGGTGGGGGAACCGCATGTGGACACCCCCACTGGGGCCTTCGGTGGAGCTCCCTATGGGGCTACGAAACGCTGCCCTGGGTGGGGGAACCGCATGTGGACACCCCCACTGGGGCCTTCGGTGGAGCTCCCTCTGGGGCTACGAAACGCTGCCCTGGGTGGGGGAACCGCATGTGGACACCCCCACTGGGGCCTTCGGTGGAGCTCCCTCTGGGGCTACGAAACGCTGCCCTGGGTGGGGGAACGCATGTGGACACCCCCACTGGGGCCTTCGGTGGAGCTCCCTATGGGGCCACGAAACGCTGCCCTGGGTGGGGGAACCGCATGTGGACACCCCCACTGGGGCCTTCGGTGGAGCTCCCTATGGGGCTACGAAACGCTGCCCTGGGTGGGGGAACCGCATGTGGACACCCCCACTGGGGCCTTCGGTGGAGCTCCCTGGGGCTACGAAACGCTGCCCTGGGTGGGGGAACCGCATGTGGACACCCCCACTGGGGCCTTCGGTGGAGCTCCCTATGGGGCCACGAAACGCTGCCCTGGGTGGGGGAACCGCATGTGGACACCCCCACTGGGGCCTTCGGTGGAGCTCCCTATGGGGTTACGAAACGCGTGAGAGGTGTGCCGAGAGCAGAGGCAAGGAGGGGGAGGAGGGAGGAGGAGAGGAAGGAGGGGAACGCGGGGCACCGTCTCTTCAAAACGAGGACCCAACACCACAGGATGGTTGGGAAATAGAGATTCTGCACGCATGCGCAGAACATTTTTTTTGCAGTAGATGGACCCGGGTCGCGACGGGGGCTGGGCACTTTGTGCTGTAACAAATAGGAGATTCTGCACGCATGCTCAGGACATGTGTTTTGTTTTGCGGTAGATGGAGCGGGGTTGCATACGGGCCGCTTTTACAGTAATTAGGATTTAATCATTATAGGATTAAGAATTTAGGGTTTAGTGTTCAGGGTGCAGGGTTTAAGGTCTACTAGGCGTGGCCACGAGTACAACGTGACCGCGAACCCACCTGCGGTGGCCGTCATTCCCACCCGCACGCCACCCCACCATAAAGATCATCCCTCCCCTCGTGAGAACCGCGTCGAATACAGCGTCGACGACGACGACGACGACGACGGCGACAACGGATGTGCGCTCCAGTTGGCACGCGAGTGCTGTAACGGGCGGGACGAGTCGGGTCGGGCGGAAGAGGTTCTGTACGCATGCGCAGGAAACGCTAGTCGGTGGAATCGGTGGATCGGGTCGCAACGGAAGGTACTTTGTATGGTAAAATTCAGGAGATTCTGCACGCGTGCGCAGGAAGTGCTATTTTGTGCAGTTGATGGAACGGGTTTACATAAGAGGGGCGCACTTTGTGCTGTAAAAAAATAGGAGATTCTGCACGCATGCGCAGGAAATTATAGTTTTTTTTGCAGTAGATGGAGGGGGGTCGCGACGGGGACTGGGCACTTTGTGCTGTAAAAAATTGGAGATGCTGCACGCATGCTCAGGAAATGCTATTTTTTGCAGTAGATGGAGCGGGGTTGCATACGGGCCGCTTTTACAGTACTTAGGATTTGATAAGTATACGATTAAGAATTTAGGGTTTCCGCTCCAGGTTTTTGTCCCCGTTGCCCAGACCCGGGTGCCGTTTTCACGGGCCGAGTATCGGCAACGCTGCCAGGGACGTTGCGCACACGTTCTTGGCGGTTTCTTACTTTTTTTTGTTTTCTCCCCAATATCGTGTTCGAAAAACAAAGAGGACCGTGGGCGAGAAACGTCTCCGTATCCGCGGCCTCGCGGGCTGGGCCCCTGGGCCGCGACCTTGCGGATACGCGGCATTTTCTCGCGGATGTCCCGCGCGGGGCGCATTTTTGCGACCGCGCATCCGCGGGACCGCGCGGATACGGATAAGTTTGCTGCTCGTGAAAGGAGCCTCGATCGGTCGAGCCTCGATCGATCGACCGACGGCGGCGTTCGCGGCGCGCCGAGCCCCCTGCGCGGCGGCCAGCTGCTGCCATGCCCGCGCAGCTCGGGCGGGTCCTCTTCGCGGCCCTGTTTGGCGCCGCCGTGCGCGCGGGCAGGAGGGACGGCCGCGCGCACGTCGTCGTCGACGTCGTCGTCGTCGTCGTTGTCGTGGTGGTGGTGGTGGTGGTCGTCGTGGTCGTCGTCATCGTCGTCGTCGTCGTCGTGGTGGTGGTGGTGGTCGTCGTCGTCGTCGCCGTCGTCGGCGTCTTCCTCCTTTTCGAATCGAAGAAGAAGCCCAGCATCTGGGGATGTACCCAACCCTGAGCAGGTTCATGTGACGTTGGTGCTGGACTCCTCGCTGGGCGGCCCATGTGAGGGCTGTGCCGCAGTGGGTGGGGGAACGCATTCAACTTTCCAACTGGGACGCGAGACGTGCAAGAGGTACGCCGAGATGCGTGGGGGAAGCCACGCGAACTTTCCAATGTCGGCCGCAGGCGGGGCTCGCGTGAGAGGTGTGCCCAAACGGGCGGACGTGACGTACGCGTTCACCATTTCACCACTGGGGCCGTAGGTGGAGTTCCCTATGGGGTCGCGGTCCTCGTGAGTGGCGTGCCGAACTTGGTGGCGCCGCCAAGCGGACACTCCCACTGGGGCCGTAGGTGGAGCTCCTTATGGGGCCCTGAATCGTGTGAGGGGTGTGCCCAAGTGAGCGGTGCCGCTGTGTAGAACCTGCCACTGGGGCCGCAGGTGGATCTCCATCAGGGGCCACTAGTCGTGTGAGGGGTGCACCACAATGGCGTGGCGCCGCCATACGTCGGCGCCCACTGAGACGGTAAGCTCCCCATGTGGCCAGTGAGCGTGTGAGGGGTGTGCCGAAACGGGCGGGGGGACGTCATGTGGTCGGTCCCAGTAAGGCCATGGGTGAATCTCCCTATGGGGCCACGGAAAGTGTGAGGGGTGTGCCGACACGGGCTTGGATACGCTATGCGGTCCGCCCATTCGAGGTCTTCGGTGGAGTTTTCGATGGGGCCTTGACTCGTGGAAGGGTGGTGCCGAAACTGGCTGGGGGACGCTATCTGGTCGGTCCCACTGATGCCTTCGGTGGGGCTCCCCATGGGCCACGACACGTGTGTTGGGGTTTGCCGCAATGGGCGGGGACGCTCGGCGATCGGTCCCACTGAGGCCGTGGGTGCAGCTCCCTACGAGGCCACGAAAAGGGTGAAACATGTGAGGGCTTTGCCAAACTTTGTTCCAAACAGCTACGGTAATCTGCTTGACAAGCTGTATCAGGATCAGTCGGGGCCTGTGAAGACTGAGAAGACAAGCAAACCATTCAGCATACAAAGGGGAGTAACGCAAGGCGATCCACGCCCTTCTTTGTTGTTCAAGTGTGTCACAGAGTCAATGAGGCGCAAACTAACCAACTTGGAATCACCTCAACATAGGTGTACGACTCCAGCCTGGCGACCATAACCGGCTGAACAATTTTCGCTTTGCCGATGACTTACTCCTCGTTGCAACGTCTTCATCTGATATGGGAGCAATGCTTGCAGACCTCAGCGCAGAAGAAAAGAGCATCGGACTCGCCTTGCATCCTGACAAGACCAAGGTCTCGCACAACGGTCATGGACATTCTTGTCGATGCCGATCACCACAGCAGGTGCATGCGAATGGGACGGTAATAGAGGCTTTACCGCCTTTCAGATCCTGCAAATATCTTGGGCGCAAGGTTCAGTTTTCGGCCCCTTACGGCAATGAACCCGACAACCTGGTGACCACCGCTTGGAAAAATCTTCGCTGAAGCACGAATTGTTGGGGAAATATTTGTCGTTGGACGACAGACTGCGACTCTTTCATGGATGTGTGACACCTACAATACTGTACGGGTATGAAGCTAGGACATTAACGACAGCTTTGGAAAACCGCTTACAGAGAAATCAACGACAAATGCTACGGATGATAATTAGGGTAACACGTCGCCGTCACTGGTATACCGACAACGACATCATACAACAACCCGGCGATATAGATGTATCTGGGAACGACGCCGGAAACAATTCCAGCAACGATTCCAGCGAGCACGGCACCGACACAATCTGCGACGAAACATGAATGATTCAATGATTCAAGACGCTATGCGGTCGGTCCCGATGAAGTCTTCGGTGGAGCTCTTGATTCGGCCGTGCGACGCGTGAAGGATGTATAGACATGGGCTAGGAGAGCGTGCTACACGGTCAGTCCCATTGAGACAGTCGGTGGACTGACAGCCTACACATCGAGACTGTGCGGCTGAGTGGATGGTGCTGCCTCTCAATTGCTTTTATCAGACTTGTAGCTGTTACAGTGATTGTTGACGCTTCGCGTATCCCCACCAGTCCGTAGCCCCCTCTGGCTCAAGTACGAAACCGTCGCCCTGCGGCTTCGTGCTTGTCTGCTGCCGAGGGGCTGGCCCGAGGCGGGCGCGCCTGCAGCAGGCTTTCTTCCTCTCGCGCGATCCCCACGGTGAGCCCTCGCGCGGCCGTGGGTCTCTGTGTCGCAAGCCTCGCTTTGATGTCGCCGTCGGCGCGCACGGCTTGCCGGCGGCAGCTGCGGCGGGCGGCGGCCGCTCGCCGAGCTGGCACCGCCGGCGCGGCTGCCGTGGCCGCCGCGGCGCCGCCGCCTGGCCTGCCGCTGCACTTGGCTGCCGCCTGCGCCGCCCCCGCCGCGGCGGCCGGCTGCTCGGCCGAGGCCGCCGCCGCGGCCGCGCCGCGGCCCCTGCTGACAGCGCGGCCGCGCGGCCCGCCGGCCGCCGCCGAGGCTGCCGCCCCCTGCTGGCTGCCTGGCTGCGCAGCCCGCCGCGGGCCGCCCTCTGCTGCGGCTTGTGCCGCCGGCGCTGGCCGCCCCCGCGGTCGCCGCGACCGCCGCCGCCGCGGCGCCGCCGCCTCGGCCGCGGCGGCGGCCGCCGCGGCCGCCTCTGCGGCCGCCGGGCGCCGCCGGCGCCGCTGGCGGCCCCTGCGCCGGCGGCGCCGTCGGCTCCGCGGGCGCCGCCGCCGCGCCTGTGGCGCCGCGGGCGCCGCCGACGCCGCTGGCGCCGCAGGCGCCGCTGGCGCCGGGCGCGGCGCTGGCGCCGCCGCCGCCGCCGGCGAGGCCGCTGGCTCCGCGGGCGCCGCAGGTGCCGCGGGCGCCGCTGGGGCCCGCTCCGCGGGCTCGGCGGCCGGTGCCGCCGCCGCCGCCCCTGCGGCCGCCAGCGCCGCGGCGGCCGCCGCCGCCGCCGCCGCGGCCGTGGCGGAGGCGGCCGCCGCTGCGGCCGCGGGCCACGCGGCCGTGCCGCGGCCGCCGTGGCCCGCGCTGCCGCGCTTGGGCCCGCCGCGGCTGGCGCCGCCGCGGCCGCGCCGCTGCTGCACCAACTGGCTCCCAGCGGGCAGACGCACCAGCAGGGCAGCAGCGGCAGCAACAGGAGCCGAACCAGCTGCAGCAGCACCAGCCTCAGGGGACCAGGAACTCAGCATTTCGAGGCGGCTCCAGCCGTGGTGACCAGAGTTTCGAAGGCGGCTCCTGGACCTGGGGACCTGAATTTCGAGGCAGCTCCAGCCGTGGTGACCAGGGCGACTGACGACTATCTGGAGGATTCCTTCACTGGAAGTGCAGCCTTCAGCTGCCCCCTGGGTCGTTACCGTGCAGCGCAGCCAGTGTCTCAGGCAGATCCAGTCCCCAGCATGCCGATCAATCCCACTTCGGATTCGCCGATTAATCCCGTGTTTCCTGGCGACAGTACGAGTAACAACTCGGCCTTCAGCCGAGGAAGTAGCGGGGTCCCAAGCAGATGCCTGGCAGTGCAGAGTGCAAGGGCGACCGTCAGTCGCAACCCTGGTAATCCTGGCAGTCATGACGGCGCGCTCCCCCCACACGTGTTTGGCGCTCGGCCCTGGGCGATGGAGACTGCGGCGGCGCGGCGGCGCCGACCAGGGCGTGCTGCGAATCAGCGCCGCCTGGGCGCTGCTGCCGCGGCCGGCGGCCGCCCCCCTGGGCTCGCCAGCGCGGCCAACGCGGTTGGCGCTGCCAACGCGTCGGAGGCGTCCTCTCCCTTGGGCGCGTCCGCCGCCGTCTGCGCCGCCAACGCCGCTGGCGCCGCTGGCGATGGCTGCCCCGCCGCGGCCTCCGCCGCCAGCGCCGTCTGGGGGGCCGACGTGGCTACGGCGGCCCACGCGCGCGCACCGGCCAGGGCCGCGGACGCAGCCGACGCCCTCGGGCGAGTTGGCGCCGTCCGTGTCCGGCGGCCCGCGCCCCGCGCCGCCTTCGCCGCCGACGCTGCTGACGCCCCAAGCCTCCGCGCAGTCGGCGCCAGTGCTGCGCCCGACGCAGCCGCCGCCGCCGCCGCGTGTGCCTGCGCCGCTGCCGCCGCAAAGGCTGCGCAAGCCTCCCTCTGGACGGCCGTCGCGGCCCTGGCCCAGGCGGCTGGGCGCGCGGCGGACGCCGTCGCGAGCGCGCTCCCTCGGCGCAGAACCGACCCGCTTGAAGACAATCGTAAATCTGATGTTGACGATTGCTGCAAATCTGGAGGTGGCGTTTCGCCTGAAGACAGTCGCCAACCAGCGGCCGTTAGCTGCATCAGTCGCCAGGGAGAGTTACAGACAGAGCACGCGGTGGTCAGCCGCAGCGGTTCGGTTCTTCCTTCTGTCAGAGACAGGCAGACAGGCGTTCCTACAGCTCCTCATTCCTATCGGCGCCCCAGGCACAGAGTCTTGGTGGAGGCCGAATATGCCCCCGACAGCGCGCCCATTCCTAGTGGCAGTGTCACGGTGACAGGTGGTGGCTCCGCGGAGGGCGCGCCTGCGGTCGGAGACCGGCCTCCTCCCGACGTCAGGTTCACGACGCCTTCCCGAGCGGTGGATGGAGGGTATCTCGAGCCTCCTCGCAGCATAGAAAGTCAGGAGTTCACGCTGGAACGTGCGGCCTTCAGCTGCAGTAGCCCCCTGGGAGTGCTACGGACCGAACAGGCGGTCGTCAGCCACGGCGCGCCTGTGCCTTCCCCTCCAGGAAATGACCAAGCAGGAGTTCCTACACCTCGCTCCTATCAGCGTCCCGGGGGCGGTCCCGTTGTTGAGGCGGAAAATGCGGCCGAAATTCTGCCCCCATC